AGGAGGCATAGGTTGCAGGCAACTGGTGTGTGTGTGTGTGTGTGGGGTGACACTCAGGGACCAGGGAAATGGGCAGAATCCAAGAGGTGCCCTGGGAGGCTGAGGAGGGAGCCCTGGTGAGGCGGGCTCGGTGGGCCTAGCTCCAGAGTCTCATGTGCACAGGCCCCTTCCCAGCCTGGAACCTTCCGCCTGCCGGGACCCACCACAGGCTCCTGGAGGCCTCTGCTGGGGTGGATGACTCATCGTTTTCTCTGCATCCCGCATCCTGGGGCTGAGGTGCTGCTCAAGGAGACACCGGCCCTTCCTTCACAAGCCAACCCTGACGGCATGCTGGCCCTGACTTCGTGCTGGCGGGGGAGGCAAAGGCACGTGGGCCTCAGGCCTGGCCTCAGGACATCCCGTTGGGTTGTCTCTGGGAGTCCCAGCTTATACAGTGGACCCTGGACTGGCCACTGCTTCATTTGAGAGGCTGTTATGACCCCATTCTACAGGTCAGCAAACGGAGGCATAGCCTCTGCTGGGTAACCACTAGGAACTTCAGTCCTTCATCTGAAAAATGGGTCTGAGGATTGTCTCTCTCCTACAGTGTCAATGGGAATACTAAAGGAGAGACTCATGTGACATGCTTAGGTGGAGAAATTGTTATTCTCATTGGGTCTATCCCAAAACGGGCTCTGGGCTGGGCAGAGCTGCCACAGGGAAGGCCAGAGGGCAGCACGGCCAAAAACAGACCTGCATATGGGACCCAACTCCACCACCCGCTGTGTGGTTCTGCACAGTGCCTTGTCTGCCCTGACCCCTGACCCTTCTGTATATGTGGGAGATAAGCCTACACTCCATGGGGCATAAAGCCAAGGCTCCCAGGCAGGCCAGAGTAGGGGCTGCTGTTCCATCCCCAGGTGCCTCAGAGGGACTCCCCACTGCAAAAATCCCAAAGCCACTCAGCTGTAACCTCCTGCAAGTGGACAGAGCAGCGGGGAAGATGGAGGCAGGGGCTAAGTCCAGGCTCTGATGTTTACTGCTGTGCAGTCTTGTGCAAGTCACTTCCCTTTTCTGAACCTCAGTTTTCCCATCTCTAAAATGGAGTGTTAGTAGCTATGGACTCTGTTTCCCCACCGTGTACACTATAGTGTGTGGTATAGAAGCATCTGTACTACAAGCCCTCAGTAAAAGGGAACTACAATCAAGATTCTGGTTTGGATGGAACCCATAACCCTGGCATCTGAGTGTCCTTCTGCTCTGAGTTGGTGCTCATTTGGGCCCTGGGTTTGAATTGAGCTCCATGGCTCGCTCCCAGAATGACCTTGAAACAAGCTCTCTCATCACTCTGAGCTGCAGTCCTCCCTCCTGTAAAATGGGCCTAATGTCTCCCCTGTGCCATGGGGCTGTCTTGGGAGGTGCAGAGACAGAGACAGGAGTTGTTCTTTGCTGTGCCCGTGGTGTGCCCAGTGGCAGGGAGACCTTGGGACAGGAAGTTGAGGGGAGGTCCCACTGGGCAGAGATGTAGAAAGACAGCAGTAAGAGGTGGGAGAATCTGAATCTGGAGAGGATGAAGGGAGATGGCTCTGGAAGGAGGGGTTACAGCTGTCTGCCTCCTAGACAGATCTGGCCAGGGGAGGGCCGTGCTGGAAGCCAGGGCAGAGGGAAGGTCTGAGTCTGTCAAGAGTTCGGGGAAGGACAGTGGGCTTCATGAATTCAGGCTGCCTATGGGGTATAGGAGCAGGTTTCCTCCCTGGGGTCCAGTGTCCTGGGTTCAAATCATGGGTCAACAACCTGCTGTCCAACCTCAGGCACATCTTACCTTCTTTGAGCCTCCATTTGCACATCTGTAAAATTGGCATAATGACATCAGTGGCCTCATAGGGTTGTTGTGAGGATGATTTGGGGTACATGAAATACTCAGTAAATGCCTGCTACAGAGAAAAAAAAAATGACAGCCATGACATAGCCCATGTTTGCTGAGGGCTATGAAGCTGAATGACCTTGGGGAAATTAATTTACCTTTCTCGGTCTTAGTTTCCTCCTCTGTAAAATGAACACAGCAATTCAACCTGCTGTGCACAGATGTTGGGTGCAAGTTAGAGACCTGGCTCAGGGGCCTGTGTTCAGCAGGATCATTATTTTATTTATTTATTTATTTATTTTTGGTACCAGGGATGGAAAAGGATCATTATTTTAAGGAACTCAGGCTGACCTGAGGAACTACAGTGAGCAATGCCACAATCCTGTCCACACATTCACTGATTTGTGGCACCTGCTGTGGACCAGGTCCTGCCTGTCACTCCACAGGAATTTTCTGGGTACCTCCTGGGTGCCAGAAGCCATGCCCAGGCAGCCTCCCAGAGCATGGAGTCCCAGGTGAGGGGTCAGCGTGCAGCATAGGCCCAGGTGGGCTGTGCAGCCCTGTCCTGCTTGTGCTGGGCCTGCTGAGCTCCAGAGGGCGACTTCTGCTTGGAGTTCCCAGGGCCAGGCCTGTTGGTCCCTGTCAGGCTCTCCTTAGCCCCCCTTTCCCAGGGAAGCAGAACTATAGGAGTGTGGGCAGTGCAGCGCCTTTCCTGTCACCCCCTCCCCAGCAATATCACTCATTGTCCTTCTTCTTCCTCCCTCTTCACGTTGTGGCCAAGGCTCTGTTAAAAATGTGAACCCAGGGCCGGGGATTTAGCTCAGTGGTTCCACTGCCTGCCTCGAAAGCGCAAGGACCCAAGTTCGATCCCTAGTACCAAAAAAAAAAAAAAAAGAAAAAGTGAACCCAGGAGGCTCTGGGCCCATCCCTAGCACTGCAAAAAACAAAATAAATAAACATGAGGTGACTGCATTCCTCCTCTTCCCAAAGCCCTCTGTGGCTTCTGTCTTTCTTAGAGCAAAAGTCACCAGGCCACACAAGGCCCAGCACTTTAGCCCTTGGTCACTATTCTTTAGTCACAACGACCTCCTGGCTGTTCCCCAGAGCCTCAGTGGGCTCTGTGGAAATGTTACCTCTTCAGGGAGGCCACCCTCCCTGAGTGGCTTTTCAAAATGCCTTCTGTAAGCTGGGCATGATGGCACATGCCTATAATCCCAGCACTCTGGAAGGCTGAGGCAGTAGGATCGAACTTTGAGCCTAGCCTAGGCAGTTTAGCAATTCACCAAGACCCTGTCTCAAAGTAAACGTTTAAAAACAGGCTGGGGGCTGGGGATTTAGCTCAGTGGTTCCGCCGCCTGCCCCTGCAAGCGCAAGGACCTGATTTCAATCCCCGGTACCTAGTGAGGTCAAGGCCAGCCTGAATTACAGAGGGGGACCCTGTCTCAAAAAACAACAAACAAAGAAACAAAGAAAACCAAAACATATGCTGGAGATGTATCTCAGTTTGAAGGCCCTGGGTTCTAACCTCAGTACAAAAGGGAAGAAAAAACAGCTCTGTGTTCCTGTCATTTCCAAGCCCCTTGCTGTAACTTTGGAGGCTTAGCTACACCTGACAGATGTGAGCACAGTGCTCTGTCTTGGTCACTGCTGTGTTTCTGGTTAAATGGCTGCCTTAAGTCTCTTCATCCTTCTTTGTGCCTCAGTTTCTCTTTGCAAAATGGAGGAGCAGAGCTGTTTTGGGGCGACATGAAGACTGGCATGATGGCCAGGTCCCATGCTCCAGGGGCCTGCAGTCTCATCAAGGACTGTCTGATCTTCCCAGCAGCAGGCTCCGCTGGGCCTGGGATGGAGGGAGTGAGTCAGGCCAGCAGGGTCAGCAGGGCTGCTCCTGGAAGGCTCACTCTTGGCCATGTTGGGAAGCCCCAGGGAGGCAGGGACACAGGCTGTCCTGTGTCCCTGAGGAAATAGGGAGAGGAACTGGCCTGAAGGAGAGCTGGGGAGATCTGGCTGTGTGATCTGTGATAGAACTCCAAAAAGCTAGATCCCAAGTGTCATAGAAGAGGGGCAATGTGGGGAGGGAGCCAAGACCAGTCCAGTGTGTGCAGGGCTCTGGAGCCTGAGGTCCAGGGTGGCTTTAGGCTCTAGGGAGTGCACCCCAGATTGAAGCAAGATCTATAGGATCAAGAGGGAAGGACTAATGGAGTGACTCTTTGTCACTTCCTCCTCCTCATAACCCCTGCTTTGTTCTCCATTTATTTAACAACTTGGAGAAGGCCTTCTGGGGTGCAGTACTGAGCTCCACAGGTGTGGCTTCTGCCCTGGTAGAGTTTGGGGCACAGTGCCAGAGATAGATGTTGTATGACATGATTATGATGGTGATGGTGATGTTGGTGATTTGTGGCAGTAATGGTAACATTAAGGATGCTTTGGTGGTGATGGTGGTGATGAAAATGATGTTGGTGATGATGTTGGTGGTGATGACGGTGATAATAGTGATGGTGGTAGTGACGGTGATCATGGTGATGTGATCACGATGGTAGTGGTGGTGACAGTGATGATGATGGTGATGGTGGTGGTGTGATAGTGATCATGATGATGTTGATCACAGTGGTGGTGGTGATGAAGATGATGGTGATGATGGTGGTGGCATTGATAGCGATGGTGGTAATGATGGTGATGATATGATGTTAGTCGATGGTGATGGTGATTGTGATGGTGAGGTTGGTGATGATGGTAGTATGTCAGCTCACATTTAGCAAGTCTCACTGGGTGCTGGTCTGTTTTTAGTGCTTCCTGTGTGCTTGCACATTGGGCTCCTACAACAAGCCTACAAAGCACTGAGATCTTATGCAACTTGCCCAAGGCCCCCCATCCCAAATGTGAACTCAGGCTAGTTGACCATCAGGTACGCCCAGCTATGGCCACTGCCACTTCCAGCAAGCAGCTTACTCTGTCACTGGCGGTTCCTTCCTTGCTTCTTGAAGCAGCACAGGGCCCAACACAAGGGAGAGTTCATGCAAGCAGGGTTTGAACAAGCTGGACCAAGCAGTGCCCTGGTTCCTTGGCCTTCAGCATCTCTTCTTTTTAAAAAATTATTATTTTTTATTAATAAATTTTATTTTATCCCATTCCCCCCCTCAATTCCCCTCCCCTCCCTATATACAAAAGTTTTCTTTCCATTTTTTCCTTCTATTCTTCAGCATCTCTTCTGTGAGAGAGAGAGCCATCCTCCCAGAAAGGTGAGGAACTGCCACCCTTGCTGTGGCAGCTGACATTTCCAGGGGGAGGTCCCACTCCATAAGTCAGGAGACAAAGAGACAAGAAGGTTGTGTTCATGGCCCTCAACTAGGAACTGGGTGGGAGTGGGCAGGCGGAGGCCAGGGCCTCTGGGTGGACACACTACACCCGCTTGCTGTTGCCCTTACACAGGCCCCAGGAAAGGCTGCTGCCCGCCCATTGCTGACTCCCACGTCTCTCAGGAAGGGAGGAAGGCAGTACCTAGGTTTCTGCATACCCAAGCTGATCCCATGCCAGTAAGGAGGGAACAGAACCAGGGCCGGGGACAGAAGGCCAGAACACAAATGCTGCTTTTTACTTCCTGTGTGGCTCACGGCCCACTGTGTTCTGACTCTGGGCCTCACTTTTATTCCCTTGTTCAGATATCTGCCAAGCATTTGCTCAGTTCTAGTCTATCCACTCTGGAGGGTCAAAGGAAAATCCATGTCCTGGGAGAGCTGGCGTGCCACGGGGCAGGCGCGCTGTGCAGCAAGCAGGGTGGCAGCCAATCTGCCAGGTTCTGGGGATGGTGCAGAGAAAAATAAAGCAGAGTGAGGGTGTTGGGAGGTGGGGCTGTTGGAATTTTAAACATGGTGTCAGGGAGGGCCTCAATGAGAAGGTGACTTTATTTTCCCTCTTTTTTTTGTGTGGTGCTGTCGATGGCACCGGGGCCTCACACATGCTAGCTAGGCAAGCACTCTGTCACTGAGCTACACACCCAGCCCTGAGAAAATGACATCTTGAACAAAACCCTGAAGGAGGTATGGGAGCAGAGAGTGGAGGTATCTGGTGGAAAAGCATTCCAGGGAGAGGGAAGAATCAGGGCAGAGGCCCTGAGGCAGGGATATGCCTAGAACAGTGTCCCCAGCTCCCATCACCCCTTCCATTTGGGAATCAAGATGCACCATTTTACCCTTCAGTACCTTAGGCCTCAGAATAGAGATTTATGACCTCACAGCCCATCTCTAGGTTGAGCTGGGCTTGTGGCTTTGCGGCTCATTTCTTCAACTTGAAGACTGGGTTTTATGACCAAAGGTGACTTAGGACAGGGAACACCATCCCCCTAGCTTCTCACCCTGTGTGGCTGCTTTTTACCTGGCTGGGTCTGCCACTTCCCTGTGTGATCTTAGGCAAATTATGCTGTGTCAGTGTCCTTCTCTACAAAATGGGGATGGGAAGCCTGACGATTAGTGTTGCCATGGCACTTACAGGAAGTGTGTCTGAGAGCCCACCCCTGACCCTGGCTACAAGAACTGCTCAGTCAATGCTTAAAGCCAGCACCTGACATTCTGGTATGACTTTGAGTCATTTTCATAGTTATTGGCAGTTTGTCTTATCACTTGGGTCTTCTAAAGAAAGAGGGGAAAAGATAACATCCCCATCCTATAAACGGGGTAAACTGGGGCCTGGAGAGGGTAAGTGACTTGTCCAGGGTCCCAGTGAAGCAGAACCTATGGAGGCTGAGATCAGGGTCTCCCAGTTTAGGGACCAGGAGATAGAGGGTGAATGGAGCTGCCCAGTGCCTACTGTCCCACTAAGTGTACCAGAACCCATACACACAGTACCACTTCCAACAATAATGACTTTCAGATTTGCAGTAATGAGCAAGTGTCAGGCTTGGCTTGGTGCGTCAGGTCTACTGCAAAGGTGGTGAAAGGCCAGAATGGGGGAAGCGCAGGCTGTGGGTGGGCGGAGTCTGGGCCAGGTCCTTGGAGAACAGGAAGAGGTGCCTCATGTGATTGTCCACTCGGACTGTCTGTCCATCCGGTGTCTGGCCTTGCTGGGCAGGGAGGGCTGGGTCTCCGGACACTTCTTTTGCAGCCCCGCACCCACATGCCTGTACCTGTCAGCTTTTCCAAGCCTCAGGTCTGCCCTGGGAAGAGCCGTGTGGAGGAGGAAACTCAGGTTCAGAGGGGCTGCCTGGCTGGGCAGTACCAGGCAGCTGAGCCAGGATTCAGCCCCAGAGATCAGGGCTACAGCCAGACAGGAGCTGGCCAGTGGACCTTGCAGAAGGACTTCTCCTTTTTTGGGCTTTCCTGCCCATGGTCACTTGGCACTTGGCTTCCCAGCCTTGGTAGAAGGCCCCACCCACCAGTCTGTGCTGCAGCGTCAGCTCTCCTCTCATGAAGCTCCTGGCCCCAGGTTCCTACCCCACTCTGCATTAGCTTTCTGTGGGGAACCAGCCTGCTGAGCACTCAGGTGGAGAAGCCAGGGAGCCCACTTCTGTTCACATCTGGAGGTCCTAGACATCCTTTCCCTGTGCACGCAGAGCTCAGATCATTAGACTCATTTCACAGATGAACTGAGGCACAAAGAGGAAAGAAAGACTATGACCTCAAGCACACAGGTCGTAAGAGGTAGAGCTGGGTCCCCCACATTCATGCTTTCTGTGTTCTGTAGCCATCTGCCCCCCTGCAACATACATCAGAGCCGGACAATCTCAGAGTGCGGTGGAAACAGCACAGCTGCCTGAGTTCTAGTCCTACCGCCTTCACTCCCCAGCAGGGGGCTGGGGTTGTTGCCTCATCTTCTGGTGCCTCAGTTTCCTCACCCAGCATGGGGCTGAGAGCAGTATCCACCGTGGAGTTTCAGAGATTTTTGGTGAGCAACAGAGTGTCCAGAGAAAGGTGGGATACTGTTGAGTGTTATTTCAGTAACTCAATCCCTGTCCACTTTCCCTATGGGACTTTTGCTCTTCCTGGGGTGTGGCCGGGTGACACAGGGAATGTGTGTGGATGGGTCCTGGGGACAGAAAGCCATCTAGGGAGCCACGGTGTTGGATAGTGAGTGGCACGTAGGTGTGGATGTGAAGCCAGTTCAAGCTGCACCCAGCAGCCAAGGGTGCCTTTGTCCCCTTTGTCTCCTCTCCTGCAAATTAGCAATTACCTTTCCTGCTCCTGCAGCCTCTGCCTTTCCTGGGAGAATTACTCCAAAGCAGCCACTGAGCAAGCAGAAGCCGCCTGGCCAATTAGGAGGTGGCCACCAGGGAAAAGCTCAGGGCTTCTTGGCCAGAATTGGGGCCACAAATGCCTAGGGGCTGGTGCCAGCTTGGCAGGGAGACCAGGCAGTGTACTGGGCTCCAGAACATCATGGCTTTTCTATCACAGGGTTTCAATCCTGGTTCTAGGGCTTTGGGGATGTGACCTTAGATAAGTCACTTTGCCTCTCTGGGCAAGTTTCCCCATCTTTAACTTCACCTAAATAAATGGTGACTATAACCAGTAGATATCACTACTGTTGTCACCACTGTCACTGAGTTGGGCCTGTGCTGGCTTGGGTGAGAGAACACAACAACAGCCCTGAGGACCCCATGTGCCATGTTATTGGAACAAGTAGCAGAAGCTCAGTCAGGGCTGTCTCTTAGTAAGAGAGAGGCTTGATTTTCCAAGTCTAAGCCTCTTTTTTTTTCTTTTTTTTTTTTTGATACCGGGAATCGAACTCGAGTCCTTGCGCTTTCGAAGCAGGTGGTGGAACCTGAGCTAAATCCCCAGCCCACCTAAGCCTCCTTTTTGCTCTCTGTGGAATGGAAAAATTGAGATGCTATGTGGCCATGTGCCTAGGATAGAGCCTGACCCAGTATTCAGGAAAGGTGAAAGTTCTCCCCTCCCCCCCTTCCCTCCCTTCTCTCTCCTTCCCCATCCTCAGGAACCCCAGAGCAGCAGCCACCACTGCAGAGGAGCTGGGAGCAGGACCGCCATCCTATGGCTTGAGTCAGTCAGGGAGGATGGTCAGCCCTGATTGGACAGAGCGGATGCTGAGCTGCATGGGGTGTGGGTACACTGGTGCTCAAGGGCCACTGAGGCCATGCGCAGGATGCAGGCACAGCCTGGGTCCATGGAGGGTGAGGGAGGGTCAGACTGGGAGATGGGGGTGTCCTTTGCAGCTGGGGTGTACAGAGCCACATCACACAGGACTCTAATGCCCCCCAAATTAGCCTGGATTTCATCTGGGCACTGTGGAGCCAAGGAAGGTTCTGGGCAGATGGGCAAGGTCCTGCTAGTCAGGAAGGTGGAGATAGGACAGAAACCTGATGGGCCAGAACCCTCCCTGGTGAGGGCTAGCCGAACTTACTCTCTGGATCCTCACTTTCTTCGTGTGTCCAGTGAGTGGCTGTGGACCTCCTGCCTCCTGAGGGCTTGGGGCAAAAACAAACTGCCCTTCTGCCAGGCCTGCTGCCAGTCCCCTGTGGTGTTCACTGAGGAAGAAACCAAGACACGGAGAGGAGAGATAACACCCCTGTCCCCAAGCTGGGCAGGCTGGGGCGTGGCCCCGTCCCCAGCCAGTTCCCCCAGGGCCCACCAGCAGGATTAGTGCCTGTGTGCTGGGTGTGCCGCACCTGTCCTTGTCCCTGTCTCCGCCCTGCAGAGGTGGCCCCGCCCAGATCCTCCCGCCCCCTCCGCTCTACAGGCGGATGCTTCCAGGACTGCGCCAATAGGAAAAAGGACTCCGGCTCATTTTTCGTCAGGGAAGCTGGGAGCAGATAAAGCCAGCCAGAGAAGTGTTCCAGTGGCAGGGTGTTTCCAGCCCTGCTGGGCCACCCGCGAAAACCTGAGTCCCAGCCTGCCTTGCCTCCCTCTCCCCGTCGTGTTCCCTGGTGATGGTGACGGGGCTGCCGATGCGGTGGCGTTGGCTGCAGTTCCTCACCTGCGCGCGGGTCTGGCTCCCGCAAGAAAGGAGGAGGAGGAAAAAAAGGTCCTTGAGATGGTGACAAAGGTCTGAGTGTGGGCCGCGGGAGCAGTCTGTTTCCAGGCAACTGCTCTGCCCTGGGCTCCCTGCGGCGGCGGGCACATCCGTCATGCCGCTGCTCTGCTCTGTGAGGGAGCGGCTGCCCAGCAGCCCAGGCACACGTTCTGTGGCCGTGGCCTGGAGAGCTCCAGTCTGCTGAGAAGGTGAGGCCCTCCTGCAGGGCCTGTGTTACAAAGAATGGTCATGGCTCCTGCTGTCCAAGCACCTGCTAGGTGCCCAGTCTCAGGCCTGGTGCTCCTAGGGTAGAGGTCCCACCCATTAACCTGTCTGTCTGTCCGCCCATCTACCTAGGATAGGTGGCAGTTTAGTGGGTAGATTCTGGATGGCTGGGTTGAAACCTCACTCTCTCGTATACTTACTGTTTGTTCTTAGGTGTGTCATTCTACCTTGCCAGGCCTCAGTTTCTTCATCTGTGAAATGGACACACTAGTTCTCATCTTGTAGGGTTGTTGTGGGATTAAATGGTTTATAGGAGCCAGGTGTGATGGCACACACCTGTAATCCCAGCATTCGGGAGGCTGAGGTGGGAGGATTGTGGTGAGTTCAAGGCCAGTTTGAACTACATAGCAAGACCCTGTCTCAAAAACCAAAAAAATTTTAATTAAAAAATAAATGAAAGGCTTATAGATAGATAATGCCCTAGGTACAATGCCTGGCATATGGTAATGTTCGGTAAATGTTGTTTCTATTTCCTTATTAATTATACAGAGATGTTGGGATTGGTGGGAAGTTTACCCTCTCTTGCTATCAGTGGGTTCCATTTGACTCATTTTTATCCTAATGATTGTAGGTAAGTTGCTCTGTCCTCTGAGCCTCAGCTTCCTCTTGGTGAAACCAGGGAGTTATTTAATAGATGCCTCAATGCCCTGGTTGGCTTAGGTGTGAAGCTCTGGCTGTAGTTGGGAGGATTATTGATGCCATGTGCCAGGCCCCACCCTGGCAGCACTCAGGACCCAGAATGCTTGTTATTCAGCAGAGCTCAACTGGCACCCACTGGTGCCTTGTGGGGGCAGGGAGAGGAGTCAGACCTGCCAGGCTGTGCCCTCACCAGCCCCCACCCGCCTGCTGTCAGGCCACTCAGCTCTACAGGACTGCCCTGCTCTCTGTATCTAGTTAACCTGCCCAATAATTCTGACTGCTCCAGCCTCTACCCTTGGGGCTGCATAGCCCTGCCCCCCACCCTTCCCTCCACCTCCTTTGTGGAAACAACCTCTGTGGGTGCCCTGTAGCAAGAAGAGGAGGAGGAGAAGGAGGTGGCCCAAGTGCCAGGGAGCCAGGCACACGGCTGGCCTTTGTCTGGGCCAGGCAGCCAAGGGAGGCTCAGTCCCATGGGGCAGGTCTTGCTGCCTGCCTGGGGGAGGCTCTGGGAGGCAGAGTAGGCGGCAGGTTCTGGGCAGGCCTGGACTGGCAGCGGCCCCAGGACGGCCTTGCCCACTCAAGCAAGAGGGAGGCCTGCAGCTGGGAGTAGAGAGGGCTTACACTGCTGCTCCCTATGGCAGCCAACCTAGAAGACAGTGTCCTTTTGGGGCCCGTTACAGACATCTCAGCACCTACTATGTGTCAGGAGCAGTAGCAGCCTTCAGAACCAGACCATACAGTCTGGTGCTGAGGCCTGACAGCTTGGATTCAAAGCCTGCTGACAGCCTGCTCAAGTCTTTGACAACTACAGGCAGACTGCCCCACTTCACTAGGCCTCCATTTGCTGGTCTGCAAAACAAACCTAGCCATAGGCCTAGCTCAAGTGCAGAGAGCCCTACAGGGAATAAAGAGAGCTCCCAGGGCTGCTGCTGTTGTTAGTATCCTTGACTCTGCCCTTGAGACGGGGCTAGTTCTTACTGTGTGTCAGGGATGCCTGCCCCAGAGAGAATCAAATTCAAGAACTATCTCCTGAGCACCTACTGTGTGCCAGTACCTTGAGCTGGACATTCAGGATACCCAGCAGAAAGTCCTGGGACCAAGAAGGGAGGAAGGTGATGTATGAGGTCCTACTGTGTGCCAGGCTCATTGCCGAATGCTGGAATCGGGGTGGGATAGACACAGAAATCTAGAACCCCAAGATAATTTGATGGAGGAGGCCCACAGTGCCTGCCTAGGGTTGGGGCACAGGGAAGACTTCTTGGAGGATGTGACCTGGAATCTTGGCACTGGGATCCTCACTCAGCAGTTCCTCTCTGAAACAGCTCTGTAATGTCGTGATCCTTCCTCACTTCCAGAGTTCTAGGACAGAGACTCACTGCCCAAGGAGGAATGTACATTTCCACCTGCAGTCAGCTGGCCTGTTCTCAGACCCATTCTCAGCCCCCTCCCCTCCACCGAGCCCAGGCCTGCTTGGTCTGGTCCAGGTGGCAGTGGCTGCATTGGCCTGCCTGCTCCCTCGAGTCTCTCCAGTCCTCTCCTCCAGCAGCCAGAGCAATCTTCTGAAACATAAATCACACAACATCAGTGCCTAGCCTAAAACCCTTCAGCAGCTCCTCAGGGGCTCTTAGGACAAAGACCAGACTCCACACTGAAGGCTTCAAGGCCCAGCCAAGCCCAGTGCTGTCGATCCTCCAGCCTCAGAGGGCAGAGGAGGGGGCTGTGGCCAGGCCAGAGCCTCCACCTGCCTGTGCAGCTTCTTGAGGGTGCAGGGATGAATTGAGTGCAGATGGTGCCCCCGCCCATGGCTGTGGAGATATGGAGGGATGGAAGATGAATAACACAGGAAAGTAGGGTAGTATGATCTCAGCACAGAGTCCCTTTAGCTCCATGCCTCAGTTTCTCCATTGGTAAAACAAGGAGGCTGGCTGGGTGATGCCCCCAGTAGTGACACAGAGAGTGCTGGGGTCCCTTGGGCTTTTCACACACACGATGGTTCCCATGATGGAGTGTCTCTTGCCCTCCCCACACAGGGGCCACAGCAGAGGCCAGAAAATCAGAGGTAGGTTACTGTGTGCATCTCAGCAGCTCTCGATACTGAAGAGACACAGAGGCCCACCAGCACTGACACTCTTCCTTGGCTCTCTGTGTCAGCCAGGCCCCCTGTGACCAGCAGCAGCAGTGACTGAGGACAGTGACACAGGGGACTCTGCATGGTTGGTCACTCAAAGTCAGCAAGCTGGGGTTTTAATCCCTGGGGATTTACATCCCTTGGGAATTTACATTTTGTTATTTTTATTTTCATATTTGTTTACATTTAGGCCACATTCACATTATTCAACATGCAAAAGTTTAAAAAGATTCGGTAAAAATCTCCTTCTTACCTCTTTTCTTTTTCTCAGCCATTCAGCTCCTTCTCAGAAGGTGCCACTGTGACCAATTTGTCTGTCCTTCCAGATATATTTGATGCCTGTATGAGCAAATTCAAGAGTAGAATTGGTCAGCATCTGAGCATCCCCCTGCCCCTGTAAGAGTTGCTTCCAGGCTGCACCTCACCAACCTCTCCCTGCCGGAGCACTGGGCAGCCCCAACTGAGGACATTCCAGGCTGGCATTGCTCTGAATTCCCCGGAGTAGGCCCCAGAGATTCTCTGTATAAGTAGTACATAGATACCAAGGACACGTTGAGAAAGTTCTAGTTAGCCACACTGAGCACCCTCAGTGCCATCACCAAGCAAGTGATGGGGAAGGTTGGTGCTGCCACTCAGCAATGGGAGCTCAGGGCAGCACCACTGCTGCCAGGAGGCTGATCCATGGCAAGGTGGTAGTGTGTGAGGGTGGACGTGTTTTCTGTGCTAGACCGGCGCTGCGACCCAGGCGTTGCAGGTGATGTTTCACTTAACATTTACCCTGTGCACTCCAGGTAGACACTGTTACCTCCAGGACTGCATCTCGGCCCCTCCCTTCACGTGCTGTGTGGCCCTGGGCAGGTCACATGCTCTCTGTGCCCCCGGGACCTCTCTGCTGCCCTGAGGCCAGCTCCTGCCAGTCCCTCCTCAGATAGGATCAGACCCATTGAGTGGGCTGAAAGGAAGGGGTACAGCAATTTCGTCTGAGGCTGAGGTGAAACTGTGTTGGCAGATGCCATAGCTGATGACCCAGGAGATGAGACCAGATCAAAGCTGAGAGTCACATGTGTCCCAGCCTCTTGTGCAGCTACTCATCCCTCTCTGGGCATCCACTTTGTGTCTCTAGGCTCCTTAGGGTGAACTTTTGGTGGAATCAGTACTGGGATCTAGTGGAAGCCTTCTGGTGGCACTGTGAGGAGCAAGAGAGGCTGGATGTCAGCAAGGCCTGATGAACTGTGAAGTGGAGCTCCTCTATCAGTCTCCTTGCTCTCAGAGCCACCTGGCCCAGCCCATCTCCTGGCTGAGGTCCAGTAACATATCATTGGTTTGGCTTTTTTTCAGAGTATAACATTTTGAAAGGTAATAGAATCTCATTAAAAAATTTTTTTTGTCAGGTATCTGTAGTGAGAAAAAAATAAAATGCTTCCCTCTTTCCTACCTGCCAGACAGGTAAGGGCCCCTTTCCAGAGTCACTAGTTATATCTTAGGCGTCCTTCCAAAGATATTTTGTGTGTGCATTACAAATAAGCACATACATTTCAGATATTTGTTTCTATTTTTACACAAAATATGTTGTACATTGTTCTGTAGGTTGTCTTCTTTTTAATGTAATGGCTTTATTGAGATATAATTCATGTACCACAAAATTCACCCATTTAAAATACAATTCAGTGGTTCTTAGTATATTCAAAGCTGTGCATCCATTACCACAATCAATTTTAGAACATTTTCATCACTTCAGAAAAAAAACCCCAGCTAGTTGGGAGGCTGATCTTCCAGGAAGGTTTCAGCCTAGGAGTTTGAGGCCAGCCTGCAAAACATAGCGATATCCTGTCTCAAAAAAAGAAAAGGAACCTGTACCCATAAACATTCACTCCCATTTCCCTTAGCCATCTCCCCTAGTCTGAGCCAGCCACTATAGATTTATAAATTTGCCTTTTCTGGATATTTCCTATTAATGGAAGTACACAATATATGTTCACGACAGACTTTGTGCACTTAGGTTTTCAAGGTTCATCCATGTTGCACCATGTATCAGTATTTATTCCTTTTTATTGCCAGGTAATATTCCATTATATGGTCATATCACATTTTCTTTGTTCAGTAATTGGTGGACATTTGAGTTATTTCCATGATTTGGCTATTATGAATAAAGTTGCTATAAACAGTCAAGTATAAATTTGTGTGTGTGTGTTCAGTTCTCTTCCACCTTGTTAAGAAATTGCAAGGTCATATGATAACTTTGTGTTTAACCTTCAGAGGACTTGCCTGTTTTGTGAAGCACTGCACATTTTACATTTCCACCAACCGTTCAGCCCCACTGAGTTGAAATTTCTCTATATCTCTCCAACAACTTGTTACTCTCTTTTTTATTAGAGCCAACCTAGTGGGTGTGAAGTAGAATCTTACTGTAGTACTGATGTGCTAATAATGTCATCTTTTCATGTGCTTATTTACCATTTTTATCTTATTTGGAGAAATGTCTATTCAGATCTTTTGCCGTTATATTATTGAATTGTAAGTGCCCTTTATATATTCTCAAAATAAGTCCCATATCAGACATATAATTTATAAATATTTTCTAGTTTGTGAATTATCCTTGATGATATACATTAAAGCATAAAAGTTTTAATTTTTTTTTTTCTTTAGTACTGGGGATCGAACTTGGAAACTTGTGCTTTCAAGGCATGCAGTGGCACCGTTGAGCTAAATCCCCACCCAAAAGTTTTAATTTTATTTGTTTCGTTTTGTTTTTTGTGGGGGAGGTACCTGGGATCAAACTCAGGACCTTGTGCTTTCGAGGCAGGCAGTGGAACCACTGAGCTAAATCCTTGGCCAAAAGTTTTTGATGAAGTCCTATTTGTCTAATTTTTCTTGTGTTACTTATACTTTTTTTTTTTGGTACCCGGGATCGAACTTGGAACCTTGTGCTTGTGAGGCAGGCGGTGTCACCACTGAGGTAAATCCTCGGCTCTGTTGCTTATACTTCTGGTGTCATATCTAAGAAACCATTGCCTAATCACAGTCCCAGAGATTTATCCCTGTATTTTCTTCTAAGAGTTTTATGGTTTTAGCTCTTAACTTCTTCTGGTCGTCATTCTACTAAACAGTCCTGTAAATTGCTGTCATTACATAAGTGCGTCAGAACATAAAAGAACTGTCTCATTCTTTTTTACAGCTGTATAATATTCAGTTTTGTGGATATACTATAATTTATTTACTCAGGCTTCTGTTGATGGACATTCAGATTGTTTCCAACTTTTGCTTTCACAAGATTTCAGTGAGCATCTTTGAACGTAAATGGCCATTTCACACACAAGTGAGTGTGTACCAAGGAGAAGAATTGCTGAGTCCAAGGACGTATGCTTTGGGACTTGATGGCAGATTGGTTTCCATTGCCAGGGTACCAATTTTCACTCCCAGTAACAACTAGAATGTGAGCCATTCATTAATTACCATGGTGGCCATGTATTGAGCACTCAATGTATACCCTGCACCATGCATTCTTGCACAATGACCCTGAAGGCCAGAGTTAAAAGCTCTATAGGGATCTAAGGTCACATGGTCTGACTTCTGACCCTGTTCACTTTCCACGTCCTATTCAGCCTGTGTCTTTAGAGGGCCTCAGCCACTTATGAAATAACCAGAAGAATGCAGATGTGTCAGGCAGCAGCTGGGGGTCTCTGTCCAGGATACAGTAACGCACATGCACAAGGCAAAGGGGTGGTCACTAGGAAACAGAGTGAGCACCTTTGTATGCCTGCTGCTGCACAAGGATCTGGGGTGGGAAGGCTCTGCCCCGTCACTCCTGGGAAGACAGCTAAGACCCTCAGCCTGGGGTGTGATCTGCTGGAGGGGCTTTTGTTTGGCAGTCCTGCAGGTGGAACCCAGGGGCTCAGGCATGATAAGCAGGTGCTCTACCATTGAGCCATAACCACAGCCTGGACATCTGGCTTTGAGTCATGCAAAAGTGGGCTCAATCCTGAATCCATCCCATGCACCTTTGGAGAATTTACTTCCCTTCCTGGTGCCATGACTCAGTGTCCTCCTCTGTAAAATGGCATATCCAGAGTGCTTACTATTGGGCCAGGGATTTAGCTTAGTGGTTTTGGCTGCCTGCTGCGCAAGCGCAAGGACCCGAGTTCAATCTCCAGTACTAAAAAACAAACAACAACAACAAAAAAACCGGAGTGCTTACTATTACTGCCCCTGTTGGCAGAATGTTATAGGAAGTCAAAGGGAGGAAATATAGATGAACATCAGGGAAGGCTGCCTGGGAGAGGAAGGACATTTGAATGAAACTCAGATGGCGCAGGAGCCAGGGGATGACACTTCAGGCATGAGGAGCTGTGTGCATCCAGGCACAGGACCGTCCCCCAGGCCCATGGTGGGGAGAATCTGCCTGGGAGGCTGCAATGTCAGGTTTGTGCTGGAGCCTGTAGCAGGGGAAGACACCCAGCACTGCTTGCAGGCATGGGTGTTTGGGTGTGGTCCCATGGGCAATAAGGAGCCTCAGAAGGACAGCTGAGCTGGCAGCCCCACCAAGAGCATCCCCACAGGAACTGGGGCTGCCTCCTCAAGGTGAGCCTCCCCACCCTCATTTCTTGAGGGACAGCTTGGAACCATGTTTAAGAGTGAGGGTTCTGGAGCCAGGCTGCTTGGGTCATTTTTGTCACTTAACCTCTCTGTCCTGCAGTTTTCTCACCCATAAAAAGGAGTAGTTCATAAAGCACTTAGACCAGTACCTAGTACCTGGAAGAAGAGAAAATCAAGGCTGTCTGAATATTCAGGTCCCTTTGGAGGACCAAGAGGATTTATTTACTCATCACATATTTATTTATTCCTTCAACAAATGTTTCCTGAATAACTACTCTGCCAAGCATTTCCAGCATATACTAGGGATCTATCCCAGGGAGCTATTACCCCACCACCACCAGGAATCAATCTCAGGACCCTGTGCTTGCCAGGCAGGCACAATGCCACTGAGCTACATCCTCAGCCCAGGAACTCGTTTTTTTGAGACAGAGTCTCACTTCATAGTCCAGGCTGGCCTTGAACTCATGGTGATCCTCCTGCCTCAGCCTCCTGAATGCTGGAATTACAGGCATGCCTCACCACGCCTGGCAATCCCAGGGTGCTCTTAGCCCCAGGGTGTTGGATGTCAAGACTGTCATTGCTACAGATTGCCCATATCCTCCTTCTGTGTCCCACCTGTGTCTTGCCCAGGCTAGAAAAGAGCATTTTAACTCCAGTGTCTTGTGAATGAGGCTCTTGCCATCTCCAAAGTCTGGACAAAAGGATAATGGGAATCAAAATGGCCTGCTGTATCCCACCCTTTTTAC